TATTAATTATATGTAAATGGAAAAATGAAACATTACTCACTTCTGTGTTGCACCTTCTCACAAATGTCGTATGTGACGCCAAGTTGTAAAGGACGAACAGAGCAAAGGCTTTCTATAACATCAAGAATAATTTGTAACGCGCGATGTTTTCTTTAGAAAAAATTGTTATTTAATGCACTAATGACAAAATTATGAATTATTTGTTTATTAATCACCAAAATTAAATTAAAAAATGGAAATTTTGCAAAAAAAAACTTTAAAAATTTCAAAAACAGGGGTCGCAAACTGTGACTTATCGTAAAACATTTCAGAAAAACTTAAATTTGAACAAAAAAATATTATTATATTTTTTTTTCAATATTTTCAAAATATACTTACGGTTCTTTTAAAGCACAGCTTTTGAAACAGGGGTCGAAATGTCTTAGTCATTAGGGGTCGAAAAGTCATCCTACAAGGGGTCAAAGAGTCAAGGGGTCTAAATGTAATGTAGTGAAATATGATTTCATGGATACAAGATATCAAACATTTTACTATTAGATTTTCTCTTTTTATAACACTGATAATTGATAAAATTATACATATAATCACATTTTTTTCGCGCTAAAGATCGTTTGGTAACTTTTATAAAGCAAATTCAGAGATATTTGAAATAATTTATTTTGTGAAAGATTGTTCATTTCTACTATATTTAAATGTTATTTTAAAATTGAAAATATTCATATTTGGATATTTTCAATCTGTTTGTAATAACGTTTTCCCCTGTAATTTGGAAAAATTACGTAAGATGTCTTATTTCATTATCTCTGAGACATGTGCATTGCTTTTCAAGTCCGACGGGATCGCAAGGGGAATTCTTAAAAGCATAATTGTGTCTCATATTTCCTTTTAAGACACCCTTAGCCTAGATTTCCCTTTATTCTACTTTACTCCTATCATAGACCACGATAGCTACTATAAAAGTTACTTTTATTTTGTCTTATATCTGTATTCAAGAGATTCAGCACATAATTTCAAAATTTGCGTAGAATAAACAAGCACTTTTTTAAGAACCCTCTTATATGTAGTAAGTGTTATCTGATTTGTATAGTGTGAAATAAAGTCTTTCATCTTATTCATCGCTATATTTTCATGCTATCATTTTATTCATGCTATCATTCTTTATTAGCTAGGCAAGAATCTCTGCACAGAGGACAAAAAATATACAGATATGAGGGGTCCCCTACCTGTAAAATGCATGCAATATAAAAATATTACAAGAAAAGCATTGATTAAAAGCATCAAAGGGCGTCCAAGCAAGAAATGCAGAAAGTGAAGATGAACTAGTAGACATATGATGACAAGATATTCTTATAAACTTTTCAATGGTTAATTGGTTTTTACCAGATTGAACGGACGAAAGACATTGTTCATTATGAACTTTGATTGGCATGCTAGAGATTAAAATATAACTTGTTATTTCTTTATGATCGTGATTATTAGTAGCAACAGATATACATGTATACAATCATTTATAATCCATATGTGTAACGCATGATCAACACCATGCACTTTTGTGGAATTGTCTCTTATCGCTATAAGCAAAGACCCCTTCTTTAGTTATCTGTTCACACTTAGTAAAAATATGACACTGGTTATATTACCATGTTGATCATGTTGAGCATAATTGTTTATTATACAATATTGTAGTATCTATTTTAATATAAAAAATACAGATTTTATGAATATTGTTTTCCTCTCTTTTTTGTGTTGTATGTGCTATTTTAATACTGAGTTTTTTACGTTTACTACTCTTTTTTTATTATTAAAATTGTAAAATAAATTTTAAGAATTCAATTGTCATATTGACCGACGATTAAAAGTCAAAACTTAACTGGAAAAAGTCAGTAAATTATGGTTAATCTTTCAATATATAATATTGTTTATTCTTAAACCATGTACATGTATATTTGTAATTTTCTTTATCATTTTTTAAATTATCAATCAATTAAACAATTCATAAAATCTAATATGTAACTTTGAATAATTCCTCGACATCTTTACTAAACACGAATGACAAATTAGATAAAATGTTTCAAAGTTGATAGTGTCATTTTAATACCATAAATATTTAGCTTTTTTTTCTCAATTATTGTACATATTTATTGTTTTTATCTCATATAGATAAAATGAAACATGCTATTGTTGTTGTTGTTGGTTTTTTTTTCTCAAATTGTATGTTTATGTATAATAATAATCAATAAATTTGAGAGTTGATCTATGTTTATTAATTATTGTAACCAAACTAAGTGACAAACATTCATTTTGGAAAAAAACTTATTTATCTGTAAAATATTTGTTCTGTTATGTAACGATATCAAACATCTACTCCAAAACCGGGAGAGACCGGACAATAAATGGTGGTACTATTCGCCGGTCACTAGTAAATCCCGGTCAAAATAGACCGGGAGAGACCGGGAATTACCGATAGGAGTACATCCCTCTATAAATAGATTTTCGTCATCATTCTATTTTAACATGCCACTGTGTACTACAAAATGATAAATAAAAAACCCGAAGAGACGGAAAACAAATGGAAAAGGTTATTTCATTTGAAAATGTTTGCATTGCGAAATTCTCCAGTTCGCTATTCATTGTACATATCGCAACATTTCATTTTTAATTAATAATAATCAAGCACCCTCATACCGATCGGAATGATCGGCTTTTATTATGACCTACTAAAAGGCTCGAGAAGTTGCTGTCGCCCTTTCACAAAATCTGACTTCATTCCATAAAGGGCGCCGCGCTTCGGCGCGGGCGCCAATACCGTTTTTGATATCTATTTTGTTCCATATAATAGAGTATATGGTAATCAGATGAAAATTATCTATATATCTTCGCAAAATCTGTTACGCTCTGCTCCATTTTTTGCTATATCAGAATTTTTTATTCGCCCTCAGACCTTCAGGACATAAAATGGTATGGCTGTGTTTACATTTTGCACAAAAGTTTGTTATCTCAAAACACACGCTTGTTTCATATTTTCTTTGAAATGTTTTGTTACTGCTTGATAACAATGATTTTGTTAATATTTTGCATTAAGCTTTATTTAATCAAAACACAAGTTTCGCTTGATTTTCCTTGCAATAAACCTTTTATTGAGTTATATTATTTAAGCACATTTTCTATAAGATTATTGGTTTCCACACAAAAATAACGTTTCTCGGATTTATGTGATTGTGTAAATATTTTAATATACGTACGAATATTAAAACACAGGTAAAGTGAGATTATCTCTGCAATCAGCTTTTCAAATTTGATAAAATTGATTTCGTTCATTAAAATGAAATAATGAAAAACAAAAGCCTTATAAGAGAACGACCAAATTACAAAATTTAAAATAAGGCAGGATCGGTTATTGAGTCTGTTCACGAGAGTGGTAATTGCAAGAGACTGTCTTTGCTATCTTACATTGGCAAGCAGTACACCCGAAAATCTTTTGATTAAATACGTTCAACTATTTTCTATCACAAGTATTCCACCTTACTTCCTCAAACAAATAAACTATATAGACTTCTGAAATATTTAAAGGAAAAATTATCATCGGTGCAATTTTATACAATGCATTTGCTATTTTCAAGACACATTTTTGTTCATAGTACCTCCTTGTAAATTTGTCATCGGGCGTATTTTGCTTTGCCTCAGCGGAGTACTTGTTTTAACATTTGTGCAATAAAATAGGTTATTTAAACAGTTAGTTTTCTCTCAGATGGTCATCTCATATATCGTGTTTACTCAAAACCAGTGTCGCACTCAGATTGTGCCATATGACTTACATGTAGTCTTAATTGATACACATATTGCTTGCAAGCTTCAATGAGCTTTAATCTATTTTATTCTAGTAGTATCTTATTTATTTTACACGCAGTGTTAAATAATACTTTGATATTGTTCAGTTGACTGTGTTAATTGTCTTGATAATGAAATATAAAATAGAGTATTGATCTCTTTCAAATACCTGTAGTGAGTCTTGTAAACATCCAAGTATATTGTGTGCTATGTACCGTTGGAAACTGTCGTCCCTTATTGTTCATTTCTATGTTTGTTGCCCTTGATTATATGCATTGATGCGAATCTTTGTTTTAGAAATTATGTAATTATTGGATCCATTTACCTTACCCTTACTGTTGCGCCCGTGGCCAAGTGGTTAAAGTCGTAAACTTCACACAACTTGCCCTAAGAGCTCTGAGTTCAAATACCAACAGAAACTTGGAATTCTTATATGTAAGAAAGCTATCCAGGTAGCTAACGGAATCGTCGGTGGTTTCACCCAGGTGACCACGTGTTAATGAAATAATGCACCACGGAAAGGCACTTGAGTTCCTTCTCCACCAGTAAGACTTAACCCTCACCTCTTAACCCTTATACTGTTCTCCCCGTTCACTAGCCTAAATACCCTCAAACTTGTTTTGTAGTATTTATTGTTTGATAGTTCGATGGTCTTGTCCGGGGCTTTGTCCCTTGAACGGTGCTCCTCTTGCTGATCTTTATATTAATATTTCATAAATAGAGGATTTTGAATGAGTGTTGGTTCAATACTGAATTTATTGAACGAGTATTATAAATTCAGTAATGATCCTAAACGAATATAATATTCTATTTATCACATACCAAAACTAAAGACAGTATAAAGTGCAAAGGATTCATTTTTCACTGACGCACATATAGTGTAACGCATTTAGTGCGTATTTACTTTGTGTTTGTTTAATGCAAATAACGTCACGTCCAAATAAATGCACGGTCGTGCAATAACATTTTACGGAGTCGCAAAATCAGCACGGGTATGTGAAAAATGTTCAATTTTACACAAAACTACATTAAACATTTCCTAATACATGTATAGCTTTTATCAAAATCAGCACGGGGTGATACATGTTAATTTTTACATAAATTACTTTAAACATTTCTTAATACATGTATAGCAAATATATCAAGAAAGTTTTACACCTGAATAGATCTGAGGGACGCAATTTGTGATAGCTGGAATACAAAATGAATTTCGAAGAGGCTTCAAACTACATCAAGGTGGTCTTATTGATAATGAATGGCGGAACGTTCATTTTAAGAAGATTAATACACAAGGTTGTGAATGAATCAAAGAGAACACTTGATAACTTTTTATCTCAAAGTGAAGAACAATTAAGAAAAAAACTGAATACAAAACAAACCGAATTAGTTTTTCCAGGACAGGGGCAAACAAGAGACATAAATGAATGGGATATCTCATTACTGATCTTGGTTTTACTAGAGGTATTTCAGGGTTATTTCAACGGTCAAGACATACTGTCGATAAAAGAGATAAGAGGTCAAAGAAATAAGATAATTGGACATAAATCAAATGCAGTGATGAATCAGAAGGAATTTAATTCACATTGGTACATGACTTTACGTGAACTCAAATGTTTGGCAGTTTTATTACCTGCCGAAGACCAAAAAGATCTAAACGACATAGAGACAAGTATATATCATACTCAACTTATACAAGATTTAATAGAGCAAAGTGATGAGATTAAGGAATTGGAATCGTCTGGCGTTAAAGAAAGGATTATGCAATTATGTGCCAAAGAAATATCAGAAAATGAGAGTAAGATTTTTTTTTTTCAAATTTACTTTTAAATAATACTTTAATAAAAAAAACCGTCTTTTGTGTGACAGACTTTGTAAACAAATGCAAATTAAGTTAATTTCAAACGAAAGATCTTGATGCCTACTAGCATGTCGCATCTGCACTCTCAAAGACACACATACGTTTATTCGCACACTCACATAGAGAATTAAAATCACCAAATATTTACTTCCTAGACTCATTTAGCCTTACGAGTATATGTTTATAGTTCTTATTTTCCAAAAGCTTTCTATTTACAGTGTCACATTATAATAAAGTAACAATTTATCCCTAAAGAACGTTCAAAACGGCAAAATAAAAAAAAATGTTGCTAGGACGGTTTGATTTAACGTTTAAATTGACAGTTCTGAAAAGTAAATTCCACGACCAATTACGCAAATCATTTTTGTTTCTGTTGCCTTTTGCATCTTTGTACTTTTAAGACAAATAGTTTTACATTCAGCACTACTCTCTTCAAAGGTTAAGCATCTATCATGTTCTTAGAGCATATGCATATTGTAACAAAACTCATCTTTGCTCTTTCCAAAGAACTTAATGTTTATTCTTTCCTGAGGCATAAGATGTCTTTTAACCCAATCATAGATTTACCCACCATTTAACGCATTTTTTATCCCCCATTTGTTGTTTCAAATGGTGAAAAAATGCATTATTTAGGCCCCAACACTTGTTTTGCTTAAGAAATGTTGTTTAAAAATGTGATTACTTCCGCGCCACCCCCTATCCAAAAAAGATACATCAAGGGGTTGCCAGAGGGGGATATGCCCCCTTCTGTTTTGGGGTTTGAAGGTGGCGGTAGCCCTCACGTAGCCATGAAAATTTTGGATTTGTGAAAGGCTAAAAATGAACCCAGGTCGATCATAATGTAACTTTTATCATCCAACGCTGAAAAGCCTTTGACTCAATTTTGATAGAAAAAAATCAACGCAAAATAGTGATTTTTGGCGATTTGTTAGATGTCTCCTCGGTGCCATGGTAACAGGTTATTTAAGACTGAGCGTACTGTTAGAAAGGCAATGGTACAGTCAAGATGTGTGCCAAGTTTGATTAGTATTGAAGCAGTTTTAATAGTTTTATAGCAATCTGAACTTATAACGGGTGACTGTTCAATGAAAATAGCCATTTTTCACAAATTACTCATGCGGTAATTGGTTAATAAAAGAAATAAAAAATTCTATAATACATCAATTGTTCTTCAAAATTATAAGTAAGCCCATGTTTTAACATTGAAAACGCGATTTGGGGTATTTTCAGATATTTTCATCATTTTCTGTTAACCCATTATCAGATATATACGCCTTTTTCATCCCTTTTATGTTGTCTCGAAAGGTGAAAATGACTTCTTTATCCCTAACACTTGTTTTTGTTTGAGAAGTGACAACTTTTTTCGCGCCGCCACCTATCCAAAGGCTACATCAAGGGTTGCCAGAAGGGGGATTTGCCCCCTTCTGTTCGGGGGGGGGGGGTTGAAGGGGGAGGCAGTAATTTGAACATGTAACGGGAGACTTTTCAATGAAAACAGCCATTTTCCACTAAATACATATGCTGTTATGGGTTAAAAGATAATCGATTATATTAACATGCATGAATAGCAGCAACACAAAGAAATACGATTCGATCAAACTAAAAATAGATAAGGCGTAAAACTAGTAGGCAATATGGTTTTAACTTTTTAATAATTTTATATATCTTTGAACTATTGGACAGGCCTGACAAACATTGATTCTTTATGAAAACAAGTAAAAAGGGATTCTTCCTTAAACAATTTATGTTGAGTTTAGTAATGTTACAGAGAGCGTCCGTTTCCGAATGGTTATAATCGTCGAGTTCTAACCATTTGCCCCTTGTATATTCGAATGCCGACTGGGACTTTGTATTCTTTGCATTCGATGGTTGTACTTAGGGCCCAGTTTCTGCCTGATATAATGCACGAAAGCACACTTTAGGTTTCCTGCACCAGTGAAACGGGAAAATCGCTTTATGAGCTATTCTGTGTTGGTGCGTCGTGAAACCTGACTGCCAACTATAAAGCAACTGTTTAAACTTGCATGAATGTGCTTTTTATTTAGTTTTATTATATAGTTTTTGCTATTTAATTCTTAACAAACCATAGTGATTTTTTAAGTAGTTATCAGCCATCAAATTCTTCTGGAAAAAGTAAACGAAATTTTTATTGTCAGTATAGTATGAGTTGAAAATTTTTCCCTGTAAGTTGTGAACATTCATGGCTAGATACTGCAAGCTGATACTGAACGTAAGATTTTGACAAACTGACGCATCATTTATTGCGAACATACTTCATACATTTATACACTACCTATTTTGCAGACTTAAAGGAGCTTCTTTATGGAAGATTGTTAGACATAATGAAGGATAACGAACAAAATAAAGAACATGAAATAGGTAAATTAATCTTACATTTCAAAGCATATCAGGAAATCATGTATAAGAATAACCTTTTAATCATTTAAGGAGGAAAACTTTATTTGGATGTGCTTTATAACAAAAGTCAGGTTAACATCACATTGAACAGAGGACAAAATGCAAAAGAGGGCGTGGCACTGAAATCATAAATAAAATGTAAGATAAAATTTGGAAAGATTTTAAATATAAGTGTCAAATGTTATCAAGGTTATATGTTTAAAAGAAAATCTCATTCATTTGGGTTTCCATTAAGGTTGTTATACTTATTATCTATTAAATGCTAATAAAACACATACAATTCATCAATTTAAATAATTAAAGTATTGTGAATAACATGACTTTTGCAGGCATCACTCTCAGATTATCAGTAAAGACAGGCAATCGACAAAGCAGGAAACATGCACAGCAATCCATCCTGGAAGCATCTAATCAAGTTATATCTAAGGACGGAAATACCGATGACGACATGGTATCGGCTACTAAAAGATTGTTTTCTGAAATAGAAAACCTGGATGTAAAAATTATCAAAGTAGATGAGGGATCAATTTTATTAAAAGTCCGTTGTTCGACAAGAAAGTCAATATATGACATGAAACATTATTTGACAGGGCCAATTGTAACAGACACGTTATTGTGCTTAGAAACAGCTGTGAATAAAACATGTTCTTGTAGAGCTAAAATCACACTTAATGTGGATCTGGATAGTCTTGAAAAGGCAATTTCAACTTTAGGTATCAATGATTTATTAAGATTATTTTTCTATTTTGGCGCAATTTAGCAAATCTTCCAGTAACATAAGCTTTAAGGTATTTTGTTTTCAAATAATGACAGTTATGACAGTTGTGTACGATTGAGATATTATTTTATATATACCCTGTCATTATTTGACCAACATTTTCGTTAAATGTTACATCTAATTAAGGTTTAAGATGTGTAACCGTAATACCGTTTTTTTAAAGTTGAGGAATCGAAATATAAATGGTGTGGTTATTTTTTCAGAGAAGGAGATGAATACCGATGTGGTTTATCTAACTTTAGGCAATGGAAGATCCAGTGTAAAGAAAGCTGTTCGGTATTTTGAGAGTTCTGAGTTTCTCAAAAACCTCAATGATTTATCAGAAGCCGTTACAAATAAAATCGGAGAAAAAGTAGAAATTTGTGCGGAAATCGTTAACGAGAAGTTAGAGGTACATGTATTTTCACTTTATTATTGACTTAACAATGAATAAATTTTCTGTTCAGATTATGCGTAAATTAGATAATATATGTACGATAAAACTAATAACAAAATCTTTGTACACATCTGGAGATGTTCTAAATTCAAAATTTCACCATTTTTGTGTTTAATTGTTGAATTCTGCTAAAACCGGTGCTAGGGGTCGTGGACGGTAATTTGCACTTTTCAGTTCCATCCATGACCAGGCTTAATCAAACCGAGCCTGCAACATTGTCAATTAAGTGATCAAAGCTCTGACTTTATTTCAACTGTTTCAATAAAATCATTATAAAACACTCATTCATATCTTTTATTTATTGAACAAGCAAATTGGTTACTTAAAAGTTGTTTTATAGCACCTTTGCTGATACTTATTATGAACACATATAGTAACTTATTGTCACAAAATACATTATATTTCAAAATAATGTGATTTTTTATTGCAGTCAGAAACAAGTAAAACTTGTCAGCTATTTGAAGAGAGCCCGCCCAGTTCACCAATGAAAAGAGGTCAATATAGTTCACCAAGAAGAGATAGCTCTACTAGAGACAGTAGAGGGGAAGCTGTAACTAGCAGTAGCAGAGGAAGGTCAAGGAGTAGAAGTGGTTCAGGTGAAAGGGCAAGAGGGATTGAAGGACCAGTTCAAAAAGCAGATGAAAGCACGGTTGATTTGCTTTCTGAAAGGGACAAAAGCATGGAAGTAAGCATTCAATTTCCACATTTCTAAAGTTTTCAGTATTTCTTCACCCAAGTTGTCAAAACCCTTTATGAGATGAAATACACTTAACAACTTGAGTAAATGTGTTATTGACAACCTGAATCTTGTAGTTTAGAATAATAAAAAAACAATAAATTATCCCTATTTTACCATCCAAAACGGCAATATTGAAAATGTTGCAGGCTCAGTTATATTGAGCAAGTTCATGGCCGCTTTTGGAAAGTGCAAGTTACCTTCCACGCCCTTAACTCCGGTGAGCAGATGTCAACATTTATCATGAAATAGTAAAATTTAAAATTTAGAAACATACTCAGATGTGTTCCTACGGTAGTCATCAAGGAAGCCTCAATGTGTCACGTAAGTCCCATTTCGTGTGAAAAAGCGGCGTATGGTATGACTGTTATTAAAATTGGCGGCAGAAAATGCATTTATATAGCTTTTCAAAAACCGAGTTCTATGGACTTATTAAATTCCCCTCGTAGTTACAAATAAAATACACGGTAACAAAATTCTAATTGGCCACTATATTATGTAATATGTTATTTGACGATTACGTTACACTTATGAACTTGATAATTTATGCAATGATTTATGTCACAGTCCTATCGATTTAAAGAAAGAAAGAAAACACGCATTTGTGCATAAAATTATCCAACGGAACTGCAAGGGCAACAATAATCTTTATGATCGCGTTCCTAGTTTACCTAATTGTACTTGTCATGTTTGGTATACTTGCGTTCTTTGTAGATTTCTTCACTTCATGCGAAAAAAGGTTAGAAATTAAAAACTTTTTCATAATGACATGATTTATCAGTTTTTACAATTGACTTGAACCAATTAAAGCGCAAAGTGTGTGCCGAGCCACTTCAACCAAATTGTAGGGACCAACGGTGTGTTAGTTATCAGATGCAAAGTATTAAAAACAAAATCAATTGTAATGAAATTACTTCTTTTTGCATTTGTTTTGTTCTAAGGGTGAATATGGTAACCAATTTTACATATGAACAATATTTTACACTAACAACTTTTTCAAAGATTGTTACAAACACATAATTGTAGGCGATAGACAAATTGACCAAAACACCGAAAAGTCAGTTCCCCCAAAAGACAATGGCGAAAAATCCAAGGTTGCAGGCCAATATGATTTCAAAATTGTTTTTCTTGTGAGTACCACTAATAAATATACTAAGATATATGAACTGAACGATCTATCTTGTAAACCATACTTGTTTAATCTGAAAACATCGTCTGAACTAAATGAAACATAATGTACTCAAAGGTTATTATTTCGCATTAGGAATTTTCAAGACAATAACCTTTACTTTATATCCATTTCAGCATATCCCTTATATTGAGATAAGACAATTTGTTCTTACCGGTGCATGTTCTTAAAATATGGGGGAGGGGGGGGGGGGGGGGGGGCAGGAGCAATTTCATGATAACACTTTCATATTTATCTAACACTTGTACAAATGTTTATCAAAAATGTATCACTTGATAGCGCCATATCATATTTAATTATACACAACTTTGTTTGTTGGTCAATCTTTAGGTGGCTTAGCCCTATCTTTGCGATCGCATCTAAAAGACGTTTAGAACAAGATGATATGTTTGACATAAGCGACGATGAACGTTCAAAGAATCTTGGAGACAAACTAGAAAGGTAGAAAAGATCGTCTGTCCAAGCAGTTGTCTCTTAGAATTTATCTTTATAGCTTTTGTGCTTATAATAGTTTCATCCTTTTAATTAATGACATTTTAATCATTTTTTAGATAAAATTGACAATTAACATGTCTATTTCTATATGTAACAAATAATTTCATGTTCTTTATCGAAAAAAACACACACCAATTAAGGTAAATTTTTAATATATGTTCCTTTACTCCTTCATTTTGCAGCATTTTTTGAATTTTAAATTTGTGGTATGTTTTCAAATACCCACTTCGAAAAAGTCTTCCAATTGTAATTAAAAATTTTTTAAGAAAAAAAAAAATTTGGCCACAAAACACCATACGTCTGTTTTTAAAAAAGGGGTTTTTTTTGTATTGACCCAATGTACAATGTCGTCATTGTTAAATTTCATTCAGACTTGAATTTCTGAATAAAATTTAAAACAAAACATTTAACGTGAAATATTCAATATATAATGCGAAAGAGTACAAAATACAATGTCTTTCTTTTATTTTTTGCTGCATTGCATTGTCAAGTTTCTTCGAATTGATATCATCCACGTCAGCAAATTGAATTCTTTGTTTACACTCTTTCTATCTTGCAAATCTGTAATAATTACATGTACAAGACTCTAACAGGGGGTAATATATTGAACGATTAAGTAATTCACAATCTACATTTCACGATAGCGGTGATTTTTTTCGCAACTCATTTTCAAGAACTTGTTATAATATCCACATAGTTTGCGCCGATGTTTATGTATATTTCACGGACTGGGACCTTGATACTTTCAGACCACATCGGAAACCAAAACAAGATGAGCATAAAATGCTTATTTACCACATTCTATCATGTACTAAGCGATTAATTATTATCATCTACCCTTTCAGAGCATGGTCCAAACAAGTAGAAAGTTGTAGAAAAACGAAAACAAAACCTAAGCTGTATTTGTCATTGATATCGGTATTTTGGAAACCGTTTGTCTCATATGGATTCCTGTTATTTTTTGAGGTATTTGACTGTACATGTATAAAACCGTGTACTGCATGTTGTCTGCATATATCAATCTTTAAAGTAATTGTGGGTGCACAGATCATTTTGCATATTTTTGGTTAGCTTTATCTAAGAAGTTAGTTTCATTTTTCTCTACATACAAGATATGTTACAAAAAGTATAATTTATGAGCCGCGCCATGACAAAACCAACATAATGGGTTTGCGACCAGCATGGATCCAGACCAGCATGCGCATCTGTACAGTCTGATATGGATCTATGCTGTTCGCTTACAAACTCTATAACAAGTAGAGAAACTGATAGCTCAGAACAAAATATTATTAATTCCTTTTAGAAATTATATACATTCATTAATATGTACATATAATTGAGCCGTGTCATGACAAAGCCAACATAATGGGTTTGCGACCAGCATGGATCCAGAACAGCATGCGCATCCGCAGTCTGATCAGGATCCATGCTGTTCTGGATCCATGCTGGTCGCAAACCCATTATGTTGGTTTTGTCATGACACGGCTCAATTATATGTACATATTAATGAATGTATATAATTTCTAAAAGGAATTAATAATATTTTGTTCTGAGCTACTGTCTTTAGGTGTTTGGTGTTTTTTGTTTTTAAAAGAAACATTTATTGAAATTAAAAATGTATTGCATAACAATAAATAGGAAATCATGAAGGTCAATATAGGAAAAACTCTTGTTTGCCATGACAAAGAAAATATGTTTTTTGAAATCGCATTAACAACATGTTTGAATGCATCAAAGAGAATGCGACTGTATGTTTTTTTTTGTAAATATTTTAAACTACGTGTCTTTGCTTTCAATCGTACTTTTTAACAGAAGTTGCTCAAGGTATGTTGTAACCGTTTAACGTACAAAAAAAGCTGTACTGTCATTTTTACATTCATTTACATTCTATAAATGTAATTAGTGATATACAAACTTGCAAAATACAGTTTCCTTAAATTGGACTCTTTTATAGGAAGCTGTTGTCATAATACAACCTCTCCTACTCAGCGGATTGATCAGATACTTCACGAAAAGTGCACCCTTTGTTTCGGAAACAGAAGGCTATTTGTATGCAGGAGGTATCGGATTGTGTGCTCTCATCTTGGCTTTCACACATCATATATATTACCTTGGAGTTCAGACGATCGGCGTCAAAATGAAAATAGCATGCTCGTCCCTTATTTACAGACAGGTATCTTTACAAGTATATTTACTTTAAAATGATACATATACCGTTTGAAATACAAAAATAAATAAATTGAATTAATTAAATAAAATAAAATGATAATAAATAAATAAATAAATAAATAAATAAATGAAATTGAAAAAATAAAGCTTTAACAATTAGACTTGCTTACGTAGTAAGTGGGTTGGCCCAGTCAGTTGATTGTCTTTTAATTTATCAAAGTCAGTGAAACTGTTGTAGCTAATAAGAAAAGCGGCTAAGAGTTTAGTTATTTGATTTAGTATGCTAACTGCGTATTCTGTTTCAGACATTACGTTTAAGCAGTGAAGGTCGCCGGGAGACTAAAACAGAAGACATAATTGACCCTTTTTTTCCCGTCAATGTTTCGGAAAATTTATTAGGGGATTCCCTTTTTAAGGAAAAAATTTTTGATCATCTGGGTTTATTTAAAAATTTTTAGGAAAACTTTTTTAAAAGAATCAAAAATTTTCTACAAAATTTTTAAAATTTTTGTTAAGACCTTTAACAGTAACAGGGAAAAAAAAGGGATCCCAAATTTAAGCTAAACTAAGTATTGGGTTAAAAGAATTTTTTGAAAAAGGGAATTTTTTTTATTTGTTTACAGCTGATGACAATGGGTGGGATTTTTTTTTTGGGTCGGCCCCCCTTTGGGGTTATTTTTCGGGGTTTTGCCCAAATTTTTTGGTTTTGGGAAAACGGGAAACAAACCCCCCTTTTAGGCCCGGGGTTCATAGTAAAGTTTTGTAATGGTTTACCACTTGTACGTTGGATTGGGATTTACCCAAAAATCGAGTAAGCATCCAAAAAATATTAAAATTTTTTTATTTTATAGTAATATTATTTCTTAAAAAACTATGTTAAGAGGATCACTGTATGTCTTTATCTTTTTTAACTTAATTTTTAACCAAACATTAAAAATTTGCCGTGCAACTTTCTGTTGTCCCAATTTTTTTTGCACAAAAAAATCTTTTGTGACACTAGTTAAGAGGACACTGCTTTAGATTTAAATTGTTCAAACGTCCGGTCGGTTGCTTTTAAAATAAAATATTCACTTTGTTAAATATTTGCTTTAAAACATTATTTTTGTTAACAAAGCCATGGTTACATTCCTGTATAATTTAAGGAAAGCCTCAGCGAAATATAGAGAAGACCGTATTGGCACCATTACTGAAATCATTAAGGCAATAAAAGTAGTCAAACTATATTGCTGGGAAAAACCATTCGGAGAGCGTTTGAGGAACGAAAGGAGGTAGCATTAAACTTTTCAATTACATATTCATAATGCACAATCATTTATTTTTACATATTGATTTCACCCTTCTCTCATTTTAATTTTCAAACATCTTTCTTTGTCTCTATCACATTATCATACTGTGTTCTGAATTTAGGATTAAATAAAAGATTGTCGATCAAGTCGATCAAATATTGAACCTGCATTTGTGCGAATCCTTTATTTTCTGCTTCTTTATTCATGAAGATTTTCTTTAACTCAAAGTATATTAATTTAATTATGATAAACAAATGCAAATAAAATAGCCCCAGTTTTAGTAACAAAAAAGTAATCAAAATATTTTTTTTAGATTTTCTATAGATTTTTTTCAACAGTTCTGTGTTTTAACGAGACACTATTTGTTTCAACAAGAAAATACATTTATTTTCTTTTTGACAGGCTTGAAGTGGTAGAGCAGAAACAAGTTCTTAACATACATTTTGTTCAAGATACCCTGACATTTGTTTCCAAATTATTTTACCTTTTGCCTGTGATAATATGGATGATGTATATCTCTGTAGACCTCCGTGCATCCAGTGTGTTTTTGGCTCTAAGAATATATGACCACGCTGGTCTTATCGTTGGTAGACGCATGTCTCGTGCGTACACTTCACTCGTTAAAACATTGGATGTCAATTTAGAGGAAATACAGGTATGGTTTGTTCATTAAAAAAAAGAAGAAAACATTTATGTCATAGTTGTTTTTTTTATGTTTTTTGAGACAGTAATTTTATGTTCATCATATATTGTTGCAGATGAAAACAATTGCATCGCTAACTGTATTGGCTATTCATTCACAGTCAATTTACAGTAGAATCCCTACTAAAGACCACCTCGGATTTAAGACCACCCCGCTTTTCAGACCAGTTTTTAAAAGAACGGAATTTTCTGTTCTTTATGTCAATGGTTACATGATCCAGAATTAAGACCACCTCACTTATTCACATTTAAGACCACCAAATTCAGTCCCAATTCCTTATTTTGTTCTTTATTTGACCTCACTAATGAGACCACTGATATTAAAATCAACACCTCCCTAGATCTTAAATGTGTTGTTATGTTGTTATTATCTGCTTGATTGCTCTTAGGCATGACACTTGATTACACAAGGTGTCAAAAGCTGTTATTTATGTGCTATTTAATGAAAAAAGGTGAGAATGTTAATTTCATAGTGGTTAAATAGTGCTTTATGCACATTTGTTTTGTGAAGAAATAAAGTCTGATATGATATGTGAATTATGTACCTCATACAATAATTATTATTGAAATCAGAACAAAGAAAATTGGATATTAAATTTCTTCAGAAATATGTTTTCTTCCCATCAGATGTAACATTATAAAATATATACTTTAAATTGTATTTGCAGGTTTAGATACATATTGTTTGTTTATACAAAATGACTAAAATAGGCCCTGGTCATATCGTGTGTAAGCAATGATAAGAATATCCACAATTAAGACCACCCCGCAATTAAGACCACTTTGGTCCAGTCCCGATGGTGGTCTTAATTGAGGATTTTTACTGTATTTGTTCATTTCGAATTTCTTTACATATTGTATGAGTTGCAATTATTTAATTGTCGTTTATTTAAGTACTAGGCGTGTTCAGGAAATACTGAAACACGGAACATTTGTTAAAATTCAATCAGACAAATTGACCAAATTTCACTTCAATATAAGATTCAATATTAATACAAAGGGTGAGCAGCGTTCAATAAATGCTACTTTCACCTCTCAAACAAGGCATCCTTGGTGTCAGCATACGCTTACTGAAATGGAATGGTTAATAATGAAACAGATGGTGTGTATGTTGTTTTTTGTTGTTTGTTTGTTTGTTCTTTTTTGTTTTCTTTTTTTGGAGCCGTGGGTGGGGAGCGGGGAGGATCAACTATTACAATAAAATTATTTTGAACGTAGCACAAGAGTTTTATTATATACACTTCCCCAAATGTTTTATTCACATTGGAATAAATTGCCGTTAGTCATTAAGAGGTGTTCTTTAAAGAATTGTTTTTAAACACTGTTGACGTGACTTATATCTTTGTGGGACCAATATGAAAAACAAAAATATCGCAGAATGTCAAAAAGTCTGCAAGGATTTTTTTTTTCAATAGAAAGATTGTCTGTACTTACTATTTCAGAAATTTTTGCTGCTTGACAAATGGATTGAAAGAACACATACAAATATTGAACCAGTAAATAATGCATCTGTTGATATCAACATCGAACGTGCACAATGGCAGGTGGTGAGAATCTTATATCAGCAATATAAACGATATAATAAAATCTTAATATGTTTTGCCATATTCTCAAATTACAGTTGATTGCTATTTAATCTCATGTTTCATTTTTGTTCTTATTTCCAACAGACAAATGACTTTTCGTGAAACTATTTGTTTAATAGCAATATAAATTATATTCATGTACTTTGTTGTTCTTTTAGAACATCAAAGCTTTGACATTTGTTCGTCACCTACGTATAATCGTTTACATGTTCAACAAGTTCGTTTTTCTGTAAAATAACTGTACTGTACTGCAATAAACTGTACAATTTTCTCATCCTTGTTTTGAAGGACTCTCGAAATGTTACTTTAAAGAATGTATCAGCAAGAGTTGAGCAAGGAAAGGTGTTGACAATTGTAGGTCCTGTCGGTTGTGGAAAGGTTAGACAATCAAATCGATTTACATCTAATGCATTCCAGTTAAAAAACTTAACCCCCCCCCCAAAAAAAAAAAAAAACAAAAACAAAACAACAATTAAATTACAAAGCAAATTGCATTGTTTATAACAAAAAATTATTAAAAGACTTGTCTAGATTTTAGGCTGTAATATATTGAATTTGATATATATAGAGTTTTGCTTTGAGTTTTTTAACTTTTATTAGAATAATTTGGTGGCCGGTTGTTGCCACGATAACTTTTATCGTTTTATCATAAAATGTCGCGGACAACTTACAAACAAACGCGATTTTCTGCCGTAATAGTACAAAATGTAGCGGGGAACATACGTATAAAACTCGATATTTTAGAACAGTTGTTGAAGACAGCAAGGAACATTTTCACTAAAGTGGCCGGAAGCGTCCTCGGCTTGACTATACATTTTATCCCTCGTTTGTTTATATAAAGTCTATAAAGAGAAAGAATTCCGCGAGACTTTTTTGCAAGTGTTGTAAAAATTCTACAAAAAATCGAGGGGAAAACTTATAGGCCGGATTGGAGACAAAACACTTGATTTGCCTGACGTCTGACATTTTAAGCGAACATGTCACTCTGGGACAACGGGCTTCCAATTTAGTTATCAAGGAAATAAGGAAAAAATCATAAGCGAATCAAAAGTTGATATTAATAACTTAGAATGTCCAAATTGGTTCGTAATTCATAAAATAAAACTGTCCGTACTTTTGTTTTAAGTTCTGGATTATTAATCATATTCGAATGCAACTTTTCATTCTTTGTTAGAATTCAAACAACTATATGATTGTATTTATTTCAGTCTTCTTTGCTGATGGCAATACTGAATGAACTCAAAGTAATAGTTGGTGATATAAATGTGCATGGTCGGGTGGCATATGCTAGCCAACAACCATGGTTATTTTCTGGATCTGTAAAGAAGAATATTACAGTTGGTGAAACAAATTTTGACAACGACAAATACCAGCAAATAATAACAGCATGTGCTTTAGACGAGGTACCATGTCTACACTACAGTTTGATATTTTCAATTTCATGGCCTATTTATCGAGGATGTTTTTTGGGGAATAAAGCAGAAGTTATTATTTTTAAATGCGTTAAAGGAATGTATATATATATATGTATGTATAAGAAAAGATTATACCGTGCTAAATTAAAAAACGACTGAATTTATCATATTATTATCTTTTTTAACATATAACTAATGTAAAAAAGTATATTTCTTAGTTTAATACTTTTATGCAGACCTGTCAATTGGTCTACCTTTAAAAATCCTAAAAAAATAGGTATGGTAGTATGAATCTGCAGCATGCTGTTAAACAAGCTAGATCAATAAATTTATCTCATTTGTTCGTATGGCGAAAAGTCCACCAATATTGATAAGGAACGTATGGTATTAAAAATTCAAGTACTAATTTTAATTACAAATAATGCATTTTAGGATTTCCGGAGGATGGTTAATGAGGAGAAAACATTGAATGGTGACCGCGGCGTGACCCTAAGCGGCGGCCAAAAGTCACGTGTCAATCTGGCACGTGCACTTTATTGCGATGCCGACATTTATTTGCTTGATGATCCGCTTAGTGCTGTTGACTCTGAGACTGGACAACATATCTATAAAAAGTAAATATCACTAACCGTAGTAATTTTATGTTTGAAAAAACAGACATAATTCTTTTACTTCAGATTTTCCAAAATAGAATATGCAAATCTTAAATGAGCTAACGTTATTCCTGAAGCACTGTATTTCAAGTTTTTAAATGAATCATAACTCTGAAACGATTTAATCTATTGTGAACACACACAAAATATATATATATGAGTTAGATACTTATTTCATTGGTCTGTTTATAGAAGATTTTCAATGGTGAACAGTTTACGGACCATCTTTTTATCATTTAGAATTTGTTTATATAGAGCACAATTTTTAATATTTCTTTCTATCTGTATCATCTGTAATATTTATATAACATGTTTTTGTTTGTAAGTGTTATACAAGGTCTTCTGAAAGATAAAATAACAATTTTGGTCACTCATCAAAGACAGTTCATAAAGCTCTCCGATGAAGTCATTTTCATTTCTAAGGTAAATATAAACATCTTATCTATTTAGGAAATAGATATCAATTCTGAGTGCATTGTTGTAGAATAATGCACGGTTTGAGTTCAAATGCGTAGTAATATAATCACGAAGGCCGATAGGCCTGAGTGATTAATTACAAAGCATTTGAACGAAAAACGTGCATTATTATACAATAATGCACGAAGAATTAATATCTATTTCCATTCTAACACGTCAAGAAAGAATATAATTATTATCATAAAGTTGGACTTTATGTTTGGCGGTTAAATTTGTTTTCGCCTCAGAGTTTCCAATTGAAACGTTCTTTAAAGGCCGTTCCAGTAAGTTGAAAAAACTGTCGTTAAATCTACCGTGTTTAGAAACATTTTGAGAAAAACGAATTTTGAAAACGTTGATAAAACTTTGTTTGTTTATTTTATTTCAGCCTATAATTTTCCAAGCGAAATACAAATTATTAAAAGTGAAATAAATGTAAAACTTAACTCGTCTGCGACGTTATAATAGGGTACTTGATTTTGATTGTTTTGCACGTGCTGTTTGGCGCTACATTGTGACGTCACGTAAACAACACTTTAAACGTCTGTACAGCGTTAACGACTGAATTAAAGATATTGGTGTTCGGATTTATTTTCTTAGTTAGACCATTTTCTATCATTCTAGATAGTTTTCACAACAAAATTCGTCAAAAATTGTTTTTATTTATCAGATTTTTCAAACAAAATGGCGCCCTCAATGTGAAAATACAAAGGGAGATAAGAAGAACGGCGAGTGCATTGTTGCAGAATAATGCACGCTTCGGGCCTTCTTTGTCTATATAGAAAAATTTCCGATAGTGTTAGAATTATTTATTTATTCATTGTATCTGCAACGAACAACTCGTATATAGGGAATATTATGCTAGTGTCTGATGTTACAACATTCACAAGGCAAGGCAAAAGAAAAAGAAGGTCGATGCTCTGCCGAGCCTTATAAGTTTTATAATATCAGACACCTATTTCGCATGCTATTTATCATGTTTTAAATATTAGTATGCGTTTCTTTCTTTAAATTTCAAATGAAACAAAAACTGTTAAGAACCTCTCGAATATATGCTTTAGTCGAATGAGAGTTTAACATTATAAAATTGCAATTAATTTCGAAGTTTATTAGTTTAGTATTTTCAAAGTAAGTAAAAGATGAAAATATTCCATTCTCTTTATTCTTTCAATATATTTTGATGAGGTGTCTGATAAAGCTGACAGTGACTAATAAATCTACAATTTTTAGCTCGCTATTCGATAAGAATAAGTAGCGCTATTGTAGTCACCCGAGCGTCGGCGCCGGCGTCCGCATCGGCGTAACCACTTATGTTAAAGTTTTTGTAATACCTCAAATATTTTCAAAGTCCATTGACATATGGCTTTGAAACTTTGCACACTTGTTCACCATCATGACCCCAACCTGTAGACAGGGGGAGGTAACTGTATCAAGCATTTTGAGAATTATGCCCCTTTTACGACTTAGAATTTACCTTTAAATTTATTGTAATACCTCAAATATTTTCAAAGTCCATTGACATATGGCTTTGAAACTTGGCACATTTGTTCACCATCATGACCCAAACCTGTCGGCAGGGGGAGGTAACTCTATCATGCATTTTGACAGAATAATGCCCCTTTTTCGACTTAGAATTTTCGTTAAAGTTTTTGTAATACCTAAAAAAAAGTCCATTGATATATGACTTTGAAACAAGATGAAATTTTATACTCTTTGAGAGCATAATAGGACTCTCTCCAAGGCCTATAACTGTAACATGGATTTAAAGAAAAAATCTTTCCCTTTTGTTAACTTAGGAAATTTTACATTATCAAGGGTTTCTTAATATCAAGCACTAAGAATAGTCGAGCGTTGCTGTCCTACCGACAGCTCTTGTAAGCCATGCACTTTATTAACAGAAATCAATGTCATGACATAATACAATATATACTTTCATTTAATTCAGTATTCGTAAAAAGTTAATTATATTGTTTCATGTAAAGTAAATACAATACACAAAATATGAAAAAGTAAGTAGATATCCGAGCCACATCGAAGTATTTTGTAACATTTTTATCTATGTTATCTTCCAGGACGGGTCAATGGAGAGAAAAATGGGAAAAGAAAAGCTTCAAACATTAAGTGATTCTGAAATAGATGGGTTTTCAGGACTTGAAACGAAAAATGTTAACAGAAAGTATGAGCATCTGAAACCTAATAAATCAACTTATTAGTCCCTGACCGGTTGACCGGATGGGACTTTAGGTCAACCCTCCGCCCGTCTGTCCGTCTGTCTGTCCGTCTGTCTGTCAGTCCGCACTCACAGGAGAGTAATTATGTGGCTAGAGGGACAATAGGTAACTGTTCTTTCTCTTTGATGTCATTCATTCCGTAATGCTTTTATGTGGCTATTTTCTTTTGTGTGGCTAAAAAGAACAATAGAGAGAACAATAGAGTAGCCACATAGTTACTGTCCTGTGAGAACGTCCGTCAGTCCGTCCGTCCAAAAAACTGGATCCCGCGATAACGCAAAAAAGTACTGAAAATATTTTTATGAAACTTGATATATGGAAAGATGGCAATATGGAGACTATGCACGTCTTTTTTTCTTCTTATGTTGAAAATTCTGGTTGCTATGGCAACAAATAGTCTGAAAATATGGCAAATGTAACACATAACAAGATCCAGTGATAACTCAAAAAGTACTGAAAATATTTTTATGAAACTTGAAGTATGGGTAGATGGCAGTCTGGAGATTTGCACATTTTTTTCTTCCTATGTTGAAAATTCTGGTTGTTATGGCAACAAATAGCCCGAATTTCAAGATTTCTGATTTAATTTTTTCAGCTTTTTTCACTATAAGTTCTTTATTTCTTAAGGTGTTTACTTCAAACTTTAAATATAAGTTTCTGGTCATCAACCACATCATATGTGACAAGGTTTACAACTCTAGCACAAAAATTATCAGTATTATCTCCCTTGAACTTAGAATTTTTATAAAAAAAAATGTTGTCTTTTTTAAATAACTTCTTTATTTCCTAATGTATCTACTTCAAACTTCATATACATGTTTCTTATTGTCACTCAACATTTTTGAGAAGGTTAATTTACTCTAGAAAGACTATTTCCAGAATTATGTCCCCCTTGAACTTAGATTTTTTCGAGAATTTGGTATTTTTCATTCCACCTTCTTTATTCCTTATAGGATTTACTTTAAAATCCCACATCGTAATAATATGACAAGGTTGTATTAACATAATTTCCTTACTAGGCAGGGAAACTTAACACATTACTGTGATATAGACAAACTTAGAACTCAAAAGATTTTAGTTCATTCATGTCATTCATTCACTGGTAAAATTGAATGGCCAATGGCCCATCAGAATGTTGCTGGGGTTCTAACCGGTAGGGGACTTATGGATTGCTTGCAATACTATGATAATTGCTTGTTTGTTTTATTTTGCATTTTATCATGAGGTATTTATTCAGATATGAAGGATAAATCAAATCAGTACAATTTATTATTACTTTATTCATAACATAAATATCCCAATCTATCAAACTTTACGATTACCTATCGGTATTGTCTAATAGTATGCAATTCATTGTTTTAGCTTATAATGTACTATAATAAACATCTTTGAAAGTTATTATTTTCAATCCAAACAAGTAATGAAAGTTCAAACATTACCCATTTAATTTTACAACAAATCCTGTGTATTACTTATAATGTTAAAAATTGGTTGAAATGCTTTGATTGCCGCAATTACTTCCAAAAGACATAATTGAACTCAATGATTAATCATTATAACGATAGTAACAGCAGATTGGACGGCGCTAATGAACAGATGAAACAAAAGGAAGCCTCAGACAAATTGGAATCATCTAAAATCGACATGACGGTGAGTTATATGCATTTTCCCGTATAAAACATCGTTTGAATGGCTATATTTTTCTTGTTGAAAAGTGGATTTTTTCAGTGATTGTTTGTTTGTTTGTTTCATTTTACGCCTTTTCCCAACAGTATTTCAGTCATATAGGCGGGTAGGTTCCTAACTATCGTTCCTGAAGAGTTACACAAGTACTAGACTACCTTCCTCCGCGCTAAACTACCAAAGCATCTCAGGTTACTGGATTAGAAGTCTCTAACCCCCCGTTCTTCAGTGATGTGTTTATCTATTCTACAAGGCTGTATTCTTATCATACTCGGTTTATAATTTTTTATTTTATGCCGAATATGTAGGACACGATTAGCTTATAAACACTCTAAAATCCGTTCTTGGGCCCAACCATGCAGTACTAATGAATGAGTGTAAAGTTTCTTGCCTAAAGTAACAGCAGCTTGCTGCTGATTGGGTTTGAACCCAGATTTTTGGCGATCCCTAAAGTATCTTATTTTAGTGTAAATGTATGTGTAAAATGCTGATACGTTTCCTTCATAAATGAAAAAAAATTATTCGAAGTTTTAAATAAAATTATCAATTCATTTCATGTGAAGTCTGAAACTCCACAAAAGCGGGCAGAAGAAGAGAGTCATGAAAAAACAGTGAAATTATCTGCATATTCTAAATACCTTCACGCTGGAGCAAGCACCCCCATTCTCCTTATTATGGTTTTTGCATTCTTTGCAACACAGGCATTGTTTATTTTTGGTGACAAATGGCTTTCTATTTGGTAAGCATGCTTATATTGTCAGCTGATATTTTTTAATAATTTATACTTTATTTTTGCTATGATTTATTTTACGAAAACAACAACAACAACAAAACAAAACAACAACAAACCAAAAACAACAACTTGAGTGTAAAATAAAAGTCCGCTTAAATGTTTGTTTTTATCCCTGATACATACGAATTATAATTATAGATGATGGTTGTTTTTATTCTTGTGTCTTTTTTTACATCACATTTCTTTGTTCTTCAAATAAATTGGGATTTACATATTTCGCACATACCCTCACAATTAAAACGTGCATTGAATCCAAAACAAATATCCTTATCGCATTGGTTTACAATTGAAAACAATAAATATAATTAAAAAATATTGAAATGTAATACAAAAATGAGGTTCTCAAACGAAAAACAACATTGTTATGGATAGATTAGGGCTACAAGGAAGATCGGTATACCAAATGTGTAGCCCCGATAAATAGCCTTAACTTACCTGCCTGTCTGCTTGCCTACCTACCTACCTACCTACTTACTTATTTACTTACTATTAAGCGATTGAAGTAAACAGTTTGTATTTGTTGCATTCTTCTCTTAAAGGGCAGATGAAGAAGAAAAAAAATATGCTGCCATTATGACCAAAAAGAAATTGTTAACCGAAGGTTTTGCAAACGTAACAGTTGTGACTCTACCAGTCGTGAACACACATTTCTATATCTCAATATATGGTATCATCGCATTTGCAGTGATCGCATTTGGTCTAATACGTGCCAAACTGTTCTTAGAAGTTACGTTAAACGCATCAAAAAATCTTCATAACAACATGTTTGACAGTATTCTGGCCACAAGAATGGACTTTTTCGAGAACGACTCTGTCACAGGTTGTTTATTTTTTTTTGTTTGAGCATATTTTTATTTGTTGTTGTTATTTTTTTGTGTTTATCTTTTGTAATCTCTTTTGTTGTCTTTTGTTTTCGTTTTCGTTTATCTCTTTTAATCTGATATAAAATAAGCTTATTCAATACATATGTAGTTTTTGTTACACAGGACAAATTATAAAGGTTATTTACTTATGAAAATTGTTGCATTTAATATATGAACTGTTGTGTTGGGTTGGGTGTGAAGAAGGTGTTTTTATATTAGAAATATAGCAAAAGGTCGAATAAAAGTTAACATTTTTCCTTGTTAACAAACAAAATTTCATTTGCAGGACAAATTCTAAACAGATTTTCAAGAGATGTAAGACAACTTGACGCGGCCTTGCCAAAAACATTATACGAATTTCTACAGGTAATGTATGACATGCTTAGATATAAAGGTGGCCGAATTTAACAAACTGATTTCTAACATTGCTGCTTTAGAAAGCCAAACATCTATAATTGCCCTTTGTTACTGACGTTTTGCCTTTAAGTGTTGAGGCATCCGAATTGCAGCCACCGTTTACCCCCGATTATATGTGGCGACTAAATGGGTACAAATAACTGGTAAAATTGAAGGCTCTTAGCTCTCGCATGTAGGTAGGATTCGACCCCTCGCGTTGCCTTTAAAGCCATAAACATATCCAACCAACAACAAATAAATAAATAATAGATAAGAAGAAACAAAACCCCACAGACATGGAAACAAAACTGAAGAAAATTATTAGGCAAATGCAATAATTTGAAATACAGGTATTTAAGATTCATCACAAAATTGATTTTCAGTGCGCTTTCATTGTGATTGGTATAATTGTTGTTGCTGGAATGGCAGTTCCTTGGGTTTACATTATTCTCGTTCCACTGTGTCTATGTTTTGTAATATGCAGATCTTATTTCGTCAAAACATCAACCCAGATACGTCGACTTCAAAGGACAAGTTAGTCACGCAACTAGTACCTAATTTGCATTATATATTTATAGGATATGATCATTGAACTAATTCTATGATACAAACACGATACATACAACGTTCGTGAATTCCATTCGATGTATATTCTTACAGCATTTGTATGTGCAAAATTATTTTGAGGCTTTACTAATATTGAAATTTAATGTTGCCTTGTCATTTGACATTAACATAATCGATAAAGACACAAAGGCAAAAAAGGTTATAGATAAAAGAAGTGTGTTATGAATAAGCATACCACGAAGTTACCTTCTCTTAGATAAGTGTTACATGTAATTTTATAGGTAAACTATGTGTTCTTTTTTATAACTCTCTAAGACTTACATTTAAAAGAGCCTGACATGTATTAATTATACTAATTTTTAGCATTAAGCCCTGTAAAGGGCCATGTCACTACTACACACGAAGGAATCTACACAATCCGTGCGTGTAAAGCACAGGAAAACATGATTAAGATATATGATAACTTCCAAGACGATCACATTAAGCCTACATCACTTTCCCTATCAGTTGGGCGTTGGTTTGCAGTAAGACTAGACCTTCTATGCGCCATTTTTGTAATCGTAGTATCTTTCGTTTGTGTAGCAGAGGGTGATGGTAAGTTTGTATTTAATCTTCAAAAACAAATTTGCAATAGCTCCTTAAAGTTAAAGATGAACATCAAAACAAAAAACCTCTATGATCTTTAATAAAAGTGTATGTATTCCATTAGATTTCACTAAAGAAACAGTTTTAAAAATAATTAAATAGGTTTTAAATTGAATAGATTATTGATTCATATTTATCGTAAATTATAAGGCATGCAATGCACAGAAATATGCGTTTCCGTTAATAAGTTAAACATATATTATTTTTATCATTTTTATCATTCAGGACTGGATGCTGGTTTAGTAGGACTTTCAATCACATATACAATGTCTTTAATGGCTTTATTTCAATTGTGTGTTCGACAGAGCACAGAAGTCGAGAACCAGGTAATCTTTAAGCTATTAAAAATACTTAACATGTCAGTGTGTGCATTTGAAGTAGAAAACCAGGTATTTCGTAAATACATTTACATTGATGATCATAATAAAATAAGAGCAACTCAGTCTATTATTGAATGTGTATGTAATGAATATATTAATATTTGTCTTTAAGTAAAGCAAAAGGGTGATTTATAAATTAACTCAAATAAGATTAATCTATATCTAAAAACAAGCACGAACTAGAAACGCCTGATGCTAATCGAATTATTCAAAAACGAGTATAATTATGTACAATCAGTATAAAATTTACTTTTAAATTTGTAACAGATGGTCTCGGTTGAACGCGCTTTAGAATACATTAATCTCCCGCCCGAATCTACCACTGGTAAAATTCCATATCGTGACTGGCCTAAGACGGGTGGTATATCATTTAGAGGGGCAAGTCTTAAATACCCTGGAAACGACAGACCCGCTCTGGAAGACTTATATTTCACCATCAGAGATAAGGAAAAGGTAAGATTTTATCCTTTCACACTTTGCAGAGTGCATTTATATCTCTGAACATTTATACTACAATAAACACAATAATAATTGAAAGCAGAAAGATTTGATATTAATGATATTTATAGTATTGTAGTGATACGATGATAACAAATTAAACACAAAAAAATGATTGTTCACTCAAACAATTATTTTATATAAACAGATGCAAGAGTGTAACATGGGCAACATGTCGGGCACTGTATATTTCAGCTACATATATTCTTATTTTATGATACACAAAAATATGAATATTCCTTTTCGCAGCATGTCTTAAATAATGGTTTTATTGAAACATTGTTTCATTTTTACGAGGGGTGTTCAAATATGAATACAACTAGGCCAATATCTCGCTTTTAACAACCTTTAAGCACGTACAATATACATGTATCAAAGATGGTTGTGTTAGCTCTCAATTGATACAATATATGTGTAAATCAGTTCAGTGTAGCTTTGACAATAGCTCGATTAACGCTATCTGCTCGTGTATACTAAAGCTAAAATGGTTGGGAAAGGGCCTCGTTTCAGAGACCAAATACGGCCCTATATCGAGAACCGATGTACTCTTGGTGAACTTTTTTTTTCATCTGTCACACGGTGGTGCTAGAAATTTAAAAGTGAGTGGATTCAGTAAGAGATGCAACTCATGTACGCCGTCCGAAAACTGCAACTTTGCCAAAAATGGTTGAAAAGTAAATGAGTTGATTGCTACTGATGCAAGATTTTCAACAAGGTATATAGCTAAATGCTGGTAAACGTTGGTATCTCTGTAGGAGCTGCTCATACTGTACTCAGACGTGATTAAAAATGTGAAGGATGCCAGATGGATAACAAATCTCCTTACAAAAGAGCAAAATCTTGCCCTGTTAAGAATCTCCAAAGAATTGTTGAAATAGTTTACTTAGTACAACAATCGATCTTTTACAAATATTATCACTGGCTATGAGGCGAGGGTTCGTTCACTTTCATGAGCCCAAGCGAAAGAAACACAACAAAATATAAGCAACCAAAGGAAGTCAAAGACCTTGCATAGCAAAACGCACCAACAAACGAGTCAAAGAGGTCATGTATGTAATTGTTTTTACCAATCGAGGTCCTGCTATACATATTGCCATACTAAAGGGTAAATCTGTAAATGCCAAGTTTGACAAAGGCAAGATCCTTCATGAATTAAAGAAATATTTCAAAAATCGTCGACCAGCAAGTGGCCTCCTTGGTGTCAGGTTGTTGCATGATAATGCTTCGTCACACAAAGTGGCCATTGTACGAGAATGTCTGAAACAGGAAAAGGTTGCCGAGCTTCCTCTCCCTCCCTATTCGCCAGATCTTGCCCGTTGCGACTTTTTCCTACTTCCGAGACTCAAAAAACACCTTGCTTGAAGAAAATATCAAACGCGAAAAAATCTCAGTTCGGCTATTTTCCGATGTCTGAACAGTATACCTCGAAAAGATAATGGAAACGCATTTAAAAATTTGATTAAAAGACTAAAATTTTGTATATAACATGGTGGTGAGTATTTTGATGGATAGAGATAATTATTTTGCCATTGTTTGTTTAGCACTTCTGAAAATTAAATCAGTTCCATTCGTATTTAAACACCCCTCGTATGTGTAACCACAATGAATGATGATATTCTTTACTAGGATCATGCTGTGAAACAAACAAACAAACAAACAAAACATTACATGTAAGTATGCAAAAAAAGCGAGCCCATGTTCATCGCTTGTTACTCGTAAAAGGTATTTTAAAACTGGTATTAAAATAGTATTTCGTTTTTAAAATTTGACTTTTTCACATAATTACTGTTTTTACATTTCATTGAGTTTTACTAGTATCAACATTATCAAAGTAGTTTTGGAGGAAAATAAAAGTGAGAGGTTAAGTAAATGCGCAGTTAGTTTATCTGTTTCCGGAGGAACTAAATACGGAACTCTCAATGTTACATTTAAATTCTTTTTTTTTTAATTTTAGGTAGGAATTGTGGGCAGAACCGGAGCCGGCAAAAGCTCTTTGATCACAATGTTATTCCGCTTAGTAGAACCAGATGGCTATATTTCGATAGACGGTGAGGACATTAAAGAAATAGATCTTCATGCCCTGAGAAAACAGATAGCCATTGTTCCACAGGTGTGTTAGTGAGATCTATAAATATTTTACGACAATGGAAAACACTTATAAGAGCACATATTTTGTATTCAGTACTATAATGTCAAAATTAAGAAGCAGTAAAATAACCGTTCGATAAAATATATAAATTACTGACATTTGGAAGGCAAACTTAACGCCGAAACCGAACATGAACAAAATTATTGCTCTAAAACCCTAGCTATATATTTAAGAAAAAGCGAGAGTCTGTTTATTTGTTTTCATGCACTATATATTTACTCAAAAGGCAATGTTTAAGAGCCGACATTGCCGTTAAACAATAACAATACCCTTTGAGAATGCTATACATACTACTTTTTCTTTCAAGGACCCGGTACTGTTCTCTGAATCGTTGAGAAAAAATGTAGATCCATTTGGTGATTATCAAGATGAAGAGATTTGGAATGCATTGCACGAGGTTTGTCTATAAATGAATATTATAATTAAAATCTGCATTTGTGTCTTTCCTTAATAATGGTCATTTAGTTATGTAATATCGGATAAATTCCTTTACATTGCTTTGCATTTTAGTTTTCTTTGTCCATTTAACGTTTTCAATCGATCTGATTTAATTAGCTTATATTTGGAGACCTTCACCCCATCGATCACTATGTTCATGCGCTGTTGTGCGCTATCAGTTATTGATTTATCTCTTTTTTGTTTGTTATTTCTATGGTATGAATATGTACACATATCATTTTGGGACGTGGTCTTTTTCACAGAGTTTTACCTTAATATATTCTTAAGTTTTTTTTTCTTAAGTAAATGCTGTTTATCTCTTTAGAAATTCAGGATTAAAATGAATGGGTTTAACAAAAAATAAAACTAAACAATGAAATTTGCTGTTCAAAATACCATAAGCACATTATTTTTTATTTTAGCAATCTTAAAACAACTTACTTCATTGACATGGTTATGTACGAGGGTTGTTCAAAAAGTAATAGGACTGCTGCTTTACTGCTCACTTTTTTTAATTTACGTACACAATTTTACAAGAGACAATTATCGGAACATGTTCTCTATATACAGTGAAAAAACCAATGCAAAATGTTTGCAAATAAGATTTCTGTGAAATTTTCAAATGACAAGGGGTAAGGAACCCGGCGCACGCTAACAATACAATAAATGACGTTCTTGACGTTGTAAAATAAATAAAAAAAATAACCAGCGTCATTCTTTCTGAAAGTATTGTCGCTTGTGCTCTAGGTGTCTGAATCATGTAACAATGACCAGGCTTCATATGTTGAGACGAAGAAAGAAAGAACGCGATCACAATTTCGTTCCGCTCCCAAAAACAAATAATATAAAAACATGGCTGATAGCCAGCCATTCTCTGCTTTTTCATATATTTTGAGTAATCTTAAAACTCAACAGGCATGGACTTAAATGTTAATGCAAAGGCAATTCATATTATTCATTTACACATGTTATCGTACGTTGTAAAACAATATGATTTTACACAGTTAAATAACAATATGTATTAATTGAAAAGTATCTTTTTCTACGTAGCACAGTATATCAGGTATTTAAACAAAATTGGCGGAAATACTAATAATTATTACCGTTAATCATTATTATATTAATTTATTAAAACACGTATTTCTAGTTAAATACGATAAGATAGTGTTTAAAACAAATGTCTCATATTCAATCCCTTGGTCAGAACTAAATAAGTAGACTCGTAGCAGACATAAAAATGCCTGATAGTTCGCGACTCGTTTACCGTCGATCATTTTGTAGTGGTTTTGAAATTGACGTCACTAACGTCCCGTCAATTTTCTGCTTTCATCCTTGCCCTTTCCTATTTGTGATCTTGTATTCGCCGTTTTTGAATTGCCTGCGCCAGCTGAAAACTAGTGCTATAATGGCAGGATAATTGTCCTTTGTTAATTAAATCATTATGTATATATCTGAATGAGAATAACTAATCTGTTGACAATATTTAACGATCACACGAATTTAAAGTTTTTTAGCAAATGTCATATTTTTACATTTAACGTGATGACCACTGCTGTTTAAAACTAAATAACTAAGCTATTTTATATCCGAATGACGTCAAATTTGAACATAATGTCACATACTTATAACTAAATGTGTTGATGAAATATATAGGCAAACAGAGAAAAAATTATAAATAAATTCGAAGTACAATGTAGCTTCAATAACTATGTTGATGTGTTGCGCCGGATGCGTGTTACCATGGTTATTCAATATAACAGAAAACACGCGTTTGGCAAAAAAATATTATAATCTTATGTTTAAATTGTAGAGATCACTTTACGATCGCTGTACATAAGAAAATATTCTTAATTGAATGAAATATGAATATGCAAGACTCTTAATCCTATTACTTTTTGAACAACCCTCGTATAAGACAGTACTTTTAAAGATAGCCATATTACATTTTGTTACTTTAGGTGCAGCTGAAAGAAGAGATTAAACGGTTGGATAAAGGTCTGGACTATAGAGTTTCTGAAGGTGGTAGTAATTTTAGTGTTGGACAACGCCAGCTAATTTGCCTAGCACGAGTTCTTTTGCTGAATAGGAAAATAGTCATAATTGATGAAGCGACAGCCAATGTTGATAACCAGTACTTTTACTTTTTAGTGTTCTTTTTTTAATTATTCACTGCTCACTTACTTTGCCTTTAACATATATGTATTTTGTCAAGAACAACTAATAAAGAGTAAAATTTTAATAATTAATATTGTAAACATCTCATTTTTATATTAACAGAGATACAAATCTGAATACCAAATATGTACTGCGTACAAATTTACATACACTGTAAAATTAATTATTGTGCAGATTTTGTTTGGAAATGACATCATTACAGTAACAGGAGTTAACGTAGTGCAATTTGTCTTTTTTAGGTGCACTTCTTTTAGAAAATTGTTCATTTCAGAACGGACGCTAAAATTCAAGGTGTGATAAAAGGGAAATTTAAGAACTGTACAGTTCTAACTATTGCTCATAGGCTGATAACAGTTATGGATTCTCACAGAATTCTGGTATGATTTATTTCTGTTAAAGGTAGCCTGAACACGGTGTTTATGTAAGATTTTACAATCAATGAATGTTCTTTGAATAATATTTAAATTCAAATTTCTTGAAGCTTGCTTGGAATGTCCCATGCATGAAGCTCTTCCAAAAGTACGCTGCATCGATTACTTACTTTTTTATATTATGATATTTTGCAAATATCGATCCGCTTACATATCAGTTCTCATGTTGGAAAATCGCTAAAAATCAAATTGAATATAACATTTTTTTTGCAAATTTTTACACATTTGTTCTGTCTATTTAATTTGATACAAAAGACAAATTATCAGAATCTGCTTACCTAGGCAATATCTAAATACTTTTGCAACTACCTATATTGATTACAATTTTGTATAGAATCATGAATGCGAAAAATTTTCTTCAAACCTAATGAACACTGTAGCAAATTATTTCTGTTTTGAAACGTTTCATTTAGTTCTTTTTGCCCGGGCATATAGTAATCGAACAGTCCGTCCGTACGAGGTTAACCTAAAACGGCAAATTTGATTTTTCTTAAGTTATACCTCATAGATTACACAGTTAGTTATCGATAAAAAGTACATGATTTGGGCAAGCAACACAACTATGGCTTCCGTTTTGCTCCAAGTAATTGCCCTTTTTAGCACTTTGAAAATGGATATGCTTAACCTGAACAGGCCAGTTGAATATCTTAAGTTCTATTTATACTAATGAAATCATAATTTCAACGCTTACTTATCAATACAAAGTACATGATATTGCCAAGTTATATAACTGTGTCATCCATTTTCCCAAGTTTTTTCTCTCTTTTTATCACTTTGAAAATAAGGCCTTATATGGTTAACCTATTTCGGTAAGTTGGAATTATATCAAATTTCTTTTAATAACTTCTTTTATTTCATGGAATGATATCTTTCATATTAAGTAGGTTAGATACCTTCTGCGGTATTCCAACTTTTTGTGTAGTAAGGGGTCACTAGGGTCAAATAAAGATCATTGTTTAAAAATTCTAATACAGTCTTTTACGTTTGGTGTCTCTCACCTGCTTCTCCAGGACAACGATTGTAGTTTACTGAAGATGGTTGAGGAGACTGAAGATTTTCTTTATGTATTTTATGTTTAATATGGACATGCCTAGGGAGATCATCTTTTTTGAGGTTCAGTTAAAGGTAATGTTGCTCATGGTCAAGTTCAACAATGTCACAACTGAATTTTAGAATATTTCACAGGTATAATCCAATTCTATTGACTGATGTTCTTTATATTTGGTAGGAACATAAATTCAAAAAGCTTCTTCCTTTTGATGGAGTTAGGGGTCAGGGGTCAAAAAAAGATGTTTATACATTTACCCATACAGTCTTTATTTGTTAATATATGTCTTTTATATTTGGCAGGAAGATAACTCGCATGGTATTGTCCTTTAAATTTAAATAGGCGTCAGTGGGTCAAGATCAACTGTGCTAAAAATATTTTTTAACATTTGCTTTTGCAGCCTTTATTTTTTGCCTGATGTTTTTCTTATCTGAAAGGATGATAACTTGCATGATCTTCTTCCTTTGGTCGTCTTTTAAATTGAGATAATTGTCAGTTGGATCCAGTTCACCAGTGCTAAAAATACATTTTTACACTTTTGCCCTTACAACCTTTATTTTTCCACAGATTTCTTTCAGGAAGATAATTTGCATGGTAGCCTTTCTTTTTAATAAGTTAGGGGTCAGTGGGTCAAGGTCAATGGTGCCAATAACAAATTTCTACACATTTCTACAGCGTTTATTTCTTTAATGATGTTTTATATTTTGTAAGATGATAACTTGGGTTGTCTTCTTTCTATGAATTGAGTAAGGGTCAGTATGGTAAAGGTCACCAACTGGTGCTATAATTAGATTTTTTACACTTTTGCCTATTTAGCCTTTCGTTATGGACATATGTATTTCATATTTGGAAAGATGATAACATTCACAATCTCCTTCCTTTAAATTGAGTTAAAGGTCAGTTGGATCAATGTCACCTGTGTTAAAAATAGATTTTTACACTCTTGCCTATACAGCCTATATTTATGGACAAATGTCTTTAATATTTTAGGAATGTCTTCTCCCTTTTGTTTGAGTAAGGAGTCAGTGGGTCAAGATTAGGGGTGTGAAAAATAGATTTTTATAGATTTGCGTAACTATACACTCTTTATTTATGGACTGATGATGTTTATATTTGGAAGGAACTGCAGGTCAAGTCAATGTCACTTGTACTAACAATAGATTATGTACATGTTTTTATACAGTCTTTTTATTTTTTACAATGTCTTATATTTACAAGGAGCATACCTAAGATGGTCCTTTAGGTTTTGATGGAGTTTTGGGGTCAATGGGTTCAATGCCAATGTCCTTCATTTTTATATATTCCATAAAGTTTTATAGGTAAGTTGAATATTTTTAAACCTCAGCACAAGTCATAGCAATTACAATTACAAAACATCATGATTCTGTCAAGTTATATAACTGTGTTTATAATTTTTCAGCAACTTTTTCTGTACATAACTAAGTTAATGGGTAAACCTTTTTTGAAAAATTGTTACCGCCAAAAATCTGAGCCGGAGGCATTTGCGTTTAACAAACACATTCTTGTTTTACATGTTTCATGTACAAGTTAAAAACTGTTTTCATTTACCTAAGATATGACAAACATTAAGTATACAGTTGTTGTTAACAGGGTTTTGTTTATCAGTTATCTTTACCCTTTCTTTTAGGTTTTTAAAGGGAAGGAAAGGCTACGTTTGGTGTCCCTCACCAGCTTCTCCAGGACAAAGAGTGTAGTTTACTGAAGATGGTTGAGGAGACTGGAGAAATGATGGCATCATGTCTGAAGAAAATTGCTAAGGAAGCATATGAGAGCCAACACGAACGTCTGCCTATAACAGATGGTTTTGATAATGAAAATGCAGAAAGCGTCTTGTATAAACGTACGCATCAGGAAAGCAACGTAACTGAAGACAATGAGGAGGAAGCCGACGAAAAAACAAAACTCTTGAAATAATAAGAAAATGTCCAAGATGCTACTGATTAAATGAGCACTTTGGAGTGTCTTACAACTACACGGATGTTTCAAATATCAAATAGTTAGTTTAGATTAGCAAATACATTGAGATAATATTTATGACTTTTTATAGTTGACATATTCGTAGGTTAAAAAGGTTTTTTTTTAAAATTAATTTCATGTTGGTTATGCCATGTAATATAAGGTAGATATACTGTTCATAATCTGTGAAGCTCGTGAATTTAAAACAATGGAAATGTTATTAAATATGATAGAATATTTTTTCTCAAAGAACAAAAAAACTCATTTTTGTTGATTTAAATGGAATGCAATAAACATAAGATTATTTTTCACAATAATTTTGTCCTAAATCAAAATTATACGCGAACATTTCAATACTTCAAAGTTAAAGATATTAGAGATTTGATTGTTGTCTTTGCTTTTCTTTTCTCGTCTTTGTGTCTGTTTCATTTCCCTCAATTAAGTTAAGCTACAGGAAAATGCAGGTAAATAAGTTAAATAGCTTTCTTTAATCATTTTATTGATTAAACTAGGTTTATGTTAATCAATTAAAAAATTATAAAGCCTAAAATATGAAGTCTCTATCTTATATCATTCCATAGATAAGACAAATCTCAAAATTATTTTATTTTGTCTTTAACTAATTTTTAGAACGTCTTGCAAACATAAACATGTCACCTAAAACCTCATTAGATTTAAGTATTGTTGTGTTAATTCGGGAAATTTTACCTTTACTTGTCAGAAAATGTGTTTTAATGTGTCATGTACGAGCAATAACAACAAGTTATAATTGTTTTGCTGTTTGTAAGAGATTTAGACGACAAACAAAATAATGCAGTATTTCTTTTATTCACGCGTTGTAATCTTCGATAAATATCCTTCAAACATTATGAACAAAATCATATAACATTTTTGAAGGAAATATTTTGTTTTAACAATGACAATATCCTGCTTTAATATAAAAATATTCAAACAGTTGCATTTTTCAGCATTTTTGATAGTTATTTACATGATTGTAACTTGATACCATAAAGTTTTGTGCATTGTCTATTTACATGAAAATGTCTATTTACATGGAAATAATAACCATTCAAAAGGCATTAACTCAACACTTGGGCACATGGAAATTGTTTGTAAAATCAGGGTTTGTTTTCAGTGTTAAGTACAATACTTGTAGGTAATTCAGTTTTTTATTTATTATTTCATCATTAATTAATATTTTATTTAGACTACATTTAAACGATTGAAGCCGTCTTAATTGCGAACTTAAGAACATTTCTGGGACGAATTTAATGTAATTACGTCTGACATGACAACGTTTTTAATGTATGCAAAGTATTTAAGTAACCAGAAATCACTGTAAGACGACAACATTATCTTTTGTCAGGTCAGATTATTATTTTATTGACGACAAGCGACGCTGTGTTATAAAATTGATTTCACTTGCAATTTTAAGGAAAGTCCAAACTTATATGAACAGATCAACTATCTGCCTCAATGGATTAAAGTCACGAGGAAAAACATACATATAGAAAAAGACTGACTGACAAATAAAGAAAGAAATTAATTTGAGACTTAATTTGCATATCAAAGAATTGAATTGTCTCTACATAAAATATACATTATGGTTTAGTTGGAATTTTGATAGAAATAAATATTGAAACATCAGAATTTTCAATATATTTGATTTGGTTTAAACGGTTTATATTTTACTATAATGTAACTTTTAATACATTTCCATTGTTATTTGTTTTTATTTTGTGGAATTAACTTTTTTATGCTCTAATTTTTGTTTGCTGTTACTTAAATATTTAATATTATTCTAACTTTTTATTGCAGGACTTTTTTCTGCTTATATTTATTCGGACTTATGTACTTGTATATCTTAGAGAGTGTGAAAATAAAAGTTTTAACTTAGTGATTAAAATCTTTTTTTTGTTAATTGGTTGTTATGAATTGCATTTAGTTTTGAATGATACGACA